ACTGATAGGTGACAACACATTGCCTTTTCTGACAAGGTATGGAATCCATACCACCAGTTAGCACCCACTATACTTACATATGTTTGCTTGTTTTTTCTGAAGGATGAAGCAGCAAAACAAAACAAAAAAAAAGCTTTCATAAAACAATATGAAGATTCAAAAATCAAACCCTGAAATGCTAGGAAACATAAGATTAAATTATCCACCCTCTCTCCATCTCCATTTTTGTTTTTGCTTGTGGCACTGATACCCAAGACATTTTCCTTGACTTCATTCAGAACACAGGGAAGGAAAACACACAAGCTGGTGGGTTTTTCATGTTGTTCACAAACCCGCACCTAAACAATTCACAAGTGATGGATTTATCTTCACAACACATCTTTGAGCAGAAAATGAGTCTTATCTGTTCTCCTGATTTGGGGCTGGAAGAACCGAAAGCCTGGATTTGCATTTCAGGCTGAGAAAAGTACTCCATTTTTAAAGAATTCAGTATTATTATGCAGCATTGATCCAGGCACAAGATCCCCCAGCTCCAGGAACTACTGAGAGCACTGAACATTTCTGCAGAGCAGACCTCAAGGTGTGAAACTCGGCATCCCTCAGAGGGAGGATCACCACACTATTGGTGGTTGTTCCCATGAGGGGAACTGAATTCAGTTTCCCAGTGCCACAGAGGACCTCTATAAACGAGGTATGAAAAAGTACAGTCTTTTCAGGTGTAATTTACAGCTCTTTTCCATGGAAAAATCTTCATATTTCTCATCTGAAACAACTCTCAGATGCTGCAAAAACAAGACAGCTTTCCCCTAGTCCCTTCACCACCTACCCTAACTCACTTCCAAACTCCAACCAGTCCCAAGTGAATCAGAGGTCGCAGTGGCCAAAAAGGAGTATGTGAACATCCAGTTTAGGGCAACACATGCAATGAAATAGGAATTAACTGGGCAGTGAAAACAATCCGTGCTAAGGAACAAAACCTGTGATTTTTAGGGGTGGCTTCATGCTAGCCTGGTTCTGTGGCCTCTGCTCCCATTAGCATGTTAGGAAGGGATCATCTAAAAAGAAGCTATTTGGGAGGATCAGAGATACAGGCCCATTGCCTTAAATTGGGGTTACTATGAAATAAAGGCACCCACCTGATCTGAATGTCAATGCTGATGTAGATGCATCCTTAAACAATTCATATTTCAAAAGCATAGGAGAAAAATAAAGGTTTTACGGATGGTATTAACAGCATTTTTAGTTTCTTCAACATTGAGGCAGCCTCTGTAACCCTAAAAATATCCCCTAAGTATGTTGTGAGTGTTTGTGTGTGCAAATATGTACTGACATAGCAATACTTCAGACAAGTCAAGGTAATAAAACTGGAATTAATATTTAGGCAGCCTTTTTGAACTCATTAGGGATCTTGAGTGAAATGTGGTTGCCACAGTCATGTCAGCACAGCAACCATTACACGTGCATCCCAAAGGGTATTTTGCCTGCATAAAGACCACAGGACCATGGTGTTTTCTACCCAGTATAGATTATCAAAGAACTGCTGTGACTCAGAGGGCTTTCCTGCTCCAAACTGTCCATCATCAGCTCTTCCCTGCAATTTCAGAAATGAAGAAAGGCAGTTTCACAAGATATTTGTCCAGGAAAAATATCTTTTGGCTTTTCCATAAACTGCTTTTTTCCCCATGTGAGGAAAGAAAGGATAGAAAGGGAAGGGAAGGGAAGGGAAGGGAAGGGAAGGGAAGGGAAGGGAAGGGAAGGGAAGGGAAGGGAAGGGACTGAGAACTGGTAGGCCACTTGTTTAGTTTAACATCTCAGACAGTAAGTATAATGGGTGCAATGTGAGACGTCCCATTCAATCCAGAACCCAGCATTAGAATATAAGGCATTTGAAATAAGAAATTCCTGAAAAGAAAAAAAAAAGGAAAAAAAAAAAAAAAAAAAAAAAGTATGTATCTTTCCTAGAGTACATATAGAAAGAGTATCTGCAATTATGTCTCAAAACACAAATAAGCATCTTTGAGGATGCTTATTCTCTGAGCTAGCCTCAGTCCTGTTTCCTCTCACTCAATAGCCCTAAAAACTATTTAAGCAACAGCAGAGGGGAACTGCAAGAAGAAAGTGTTTCCAGGCTTTAAGGAAAAAAAAAAAAAGATTAGAGTGAAAAACTCAGGAACCAATTCCCTCTAAAGCAAATGGAAATATTCAAGCATAGTAATACAGAAGTGCAAGATTCCGTTTGATTTACACCATTGGTGAGAATTGGGATCAATATCTCAGTTCAACAGCAATCTGTTAATGAGACAAAGGATGGAAAGGTTGTAGCATCACAAATTAAAAAATAATAATCTCTCAAGCTTAATATCGGCAAAGATGATTATTTTCTTTGATTTGTCAGACTAATTGAAAATAGCTTTATAGTTCGCGGATGATTAATTAGGAGCCAACAAGATCTCCATTTGCATCTCAGTAATTCTTCACTGTGCTTTATTTCAACATTTAGTCTTTATGTTTAAAATATTCCTTGAGAAAGCAGAAAGGTGATTAACACAAGATTTGAAATGTGTGCCATTTGTTCTGACTGTTTTTTACACATTTTTGTCAACAGAGTCAAAAGGAAAGAATATACAACATTACAAAACGATTACTGCCTGTTCCGCTTACATCTGCTAAATCCTCCTTTGTGATAGAGGTATTTTAACTAGGTTCATTTTGAAACAGAGGAGAAAAAGACTAAATAAGGGCAAATTCCCTCCCACTTCTACAGCTCTCCCAAATCAAATGAATATTGAAACCCATGTATAATCACCTTGAAAAGTTTCAAAGCTCCCCTTTCTCATGTGAAACAGCCTCACTCCTGCAAAGATGATCCCATGACACCAGTACCCTTAACAGATTCTGTCCCAAGAACAAAGGGGTTCCAAATACCATCTGAAAGATACGTTATTTTCAAGTCACATATATTGAGGTTTTTTATTTGGAGGAGTTGTTATTTTGTTGGGGCTTTTTTTTTTGTTTTGGCTTGTTGGTTGGTTTGTCCTGTTTTATCATTTTCTCACAGCCTTGGCATCCTCTTATCACATCATCCTCAAGTCTCCAGCAAAGGGATTGAGATGATAAGAAATTTAACCCTTCATTTGTAAAGTAAATGACTAGCTCTTTTGATGGTTTAAAAAAGCTGGACGGGTAAATACCAAAGACTAAAAGAAGAACTGACTCCTGAGGATTAAACCATCAAAAATTAAATCATAAGAGCCAAGCATTCCTACTAACAATAATAGTAATATAACCTGTATTATTATGAAGAAATCTTTCATGGAAAGACTAGCTGGTAGCTTTTGAATTTTGGGAATTGTCCTCTGTGTACCATCAAATCCATCCTTTCGTAACAAGTTCTTCTTATTCCTGCCAGCACAGGGCTTGGTCTATCACAATGTCACATCAAGAACTTGACTTCAGAACACGAAATTACACCAATGAGTACCCGGTGTCTCCCTTCCAAAGTCTTAAGGCCTTTGCTAGCACTACTCCAAAAGTAGCCAGCATCACAACAACCCTGTTGTTTCTTTGCACTTTCTGCCAGTCCCAAACCAATCCTTGAAACAGGGGTGTCACCATGGTGGCCACAGTGAATTGAGACCAAAAGGAACCCATTCCACAAGGGAAGAGGAAGACCAACAAGAGACAGTAGGGTTACACTGACAGTCCATTTATCTGGAGGTGCTGATTTTTTCCTTTGTCTTGATAGATTTTTTTTATATATATATTTTTTTAGTTTCTGTCTCAGGATTTTTGTTTTTTTTGTTTTTGTCAAGTCACCATAAGTACTGAGTTACCCATTAGCAGGAGTGAAAAAAGACACACATCCCCGCACCCATGGAAACTATGCAAGAAGTACGATCAAAACAAATTCAAAAAACAAAATTAATGGAGAAAGAAAAACATTCCCTTTCCAACCCCCAAGCACAAAACACTTTTAAGTCAACAGAATTGAATCTAGTTTATTCTCAAAAAAAAAAAAAAAAAAAAAAAAAAAAAAAGGAGGAAAAAATATGAAAACAAAACAAAACAAAAAAAAAAGCAGGTCTTATCACTAGCAGTAAATAAATTTGTACAACCATTCAGTCTGTATAATAGGATGAAATAAATCTACATCTTTCTTATTTTGGTGCGTTGAATTATACATACAAACAACAATTACAGGAACTTGTTCACAATGCGTATAGACCTGGAGAATGGCTATCCAAAAACCCCTTGTTGGCAATGTCTGCATGTTAACACTGATTGCCTGACACCATTGGTACTTCCTATGTAAAGGGCCCATGGCCCAAAATGAATGATCTCCCTACAGGTTTTATTTATTTAGTTATTTAGTTAGTTAGTTAGTTAATGCATCAAAACCGTTCTAGCCAGCCCCCTCCCCTCTCCCAGAAATGAAGAAGAAACAAAACAAAACAAAAAAAGAAAATTAAAATAAAATAAAAGGAGAAGACATGACTGGCAGTTGGTCCATTTGTTCATTAAGACCGCGTTTCCTCTTGGTCTGCATTGTTTGTTTTTCTGGTTTTTAAATTGTCCTCCCGTCGTCTTTTTTTTTTTTTTTCTTTTCCTTTAAAAAAAAATCTCTCAGAGTCCTTCATGCCTTTTTCTTCGCAGCTCTCCAGATGCAATAAAGTCTTCCTCAAATGTACAATATTTCTTACAATATAAGTTATATGCAATGTTCAGCATTTTTTATTTTACTTTATTTTGTTCACAGCACTAGAGATCCTGTCCAATAGGGAATGCGAGTTCTGAATGGCTTATTCACAAATGGTATCCAGATTCAGTGGGTAAGAATACATAGATGCCATAGTGAGTTCCTTTAAAAAGTGGCAAACATCACTTTTTTAAAACTTTTTTTTTTCTTTTTTCCTTTTTTTCTTTTTTTTTCCTTTTTTGTGTTTTTTTGTAGTTTTTTTCTTTTTTTATTATTATTTTTTTTCATTCTTACGCCTTCAAATAACATATTTATTTTTATTCTTTTTATTCTTTTTTTTTTTTTTTCTTTTTTCCCCCTCCCATTTGATTTGGGACATCAGACCCATAAGCACGCGCCTGCAAAAATGCAAGTATATAAAGTAAATCTCATTTTGAGACCGTAAGCATTCAGCAGGGGAGTCTCTCACTAACCCATGGCAGTGACCATGCTGGAGGGATGGTGAGGTCCAAAGGAGAGGCTGGATGGAGGATGCATCGGTGTCGGTGTAGTCAGCATGTGGCTGGAGTGACTGAAGGGTGAAATGTGGCTGATAGAGGACATGTGTCTGGAGAGGGCGGCGGGGTTAAAGGAGCTGCTCTTGGGAAAGTCTTCGAGGTTGTCATGGACCTTTTTGCACTTTTTGGATTTGCTAGACATTTTTCGGTTTCTGGTCTGAATTCCTTCTTTCTTCATAGTCAGGGGTCTGTTAATCTAAACAAAAATAAATTATTTTTTTTTGTGCTTCCATCTCTTCTCCCCAGATCACTGTGAGATTCATGCACCCTATGCCCACGTCCAGCTGAACATCCAGCAGCCCCTTCCTCCCCCTGCATACCTCACACATCCCCAAAATTCAAATCAGGGCCAAAACCACCCCTGGGAACTGCAGAAAATTCCAGGTTGGATTGAAATTTGTAGAGATGAGAAGACAGAAAAGTACAGAGCCTCACAGGAGCAAAGCATACCCGAATAACTTGTAGCGGCTGAAAAATTTCAGCTATCTGCTCATAAGGTAATTGCAGCGCGTTTAGGAATGAGACCAATCATTATCACCTTGAAATATTCCCTGCAGACACCATCTCACCCCCAGGCTCCCTGACTGATCTAAAACCATTAGTGACAGCAGCTGCTGGGATTTCAGTGCTACCAGGGGTCTCAAACTCTCCCAGGGGCGTTAGGGTGCTGCTCAAACTCTTCATAAGACTGACAGGTGTTCTGTATTACTCGTACTTTTTAAGAAAGGTTTTTGCAACAGTTGGGAAGCATGCATAAAGACCCTTAAAAATCACTGCTTGGACAGTGACATGGGTCTCACAGTGGCTCCTCTGCAGAATCCCACCAAAGGCAGAAGGCAGAACCCCATAGCAGTGAACACTGCTTCTTGGAATAAATGTGGGTGCTGATGGAGAAAAGGGAGAAAAAATGGATCCACTATCCACTGAGAACTACAAGGCCAATGGAAGGAGATTCCTGCAAGGATCCTGAGGAGATTTTGATTCGTAAGATCTTCAACCAGTGCAGGGAACAAAGCACATCCTTCTTTGAGATCACAGAACAGTTTAGCTGCTTGCTTATCGGTGCTTTTCCCCACAGTATGAGAACGATTCTGTGAGTTCTCTCCCTAAGGAGGCAGGGATACAATAGCTCCCTGTTATATGCAGGGACAGAGGCATGGGGAGAGGAAAGAGCATCCCAAAGTTCGTCATCTCACTCTGAATTAGTGACCCCAGGCTCTCCACACCAGCAGTGATGAGAAATTTCACCTCACCCTAAAAAATGGGCAATTGAAAGTCTGATTACCTCTGGATAAAGGCAGCCAGTGGGAGCAGCCCAGCTTGCTAGCAGCTGAAGGTATGCCAGCCCATGTGCAGATCCACAGCAGCCTTGGGGCAGCAGCAAGCCAAAACCTCAAATGTCATAGGCTTTAAATACAATATCACCCTTCTCCTTGACTTCCTGTCCTCATGGGATACACATACAAGGGAGGCCCTTTGCTTCAGCCTGTGATGGGAAAGCATTGCCTGCCTCTTTCCAGTCACCCAGCAGGGATTTCTTGCCCATGTTCAAAAGGCAAAAGGTGAACCCCACTGGGGAGCAGTGTCACAGCAGATCTGGAGGTCCTGATCTCCAATAAGACCAGCTCAGATGTGGGGAGACATACACAAATCCCTGCCTCCCCAGCTCATAATGAGGATTTGCACCATGATAATGAAGTCTCAAGAGCATCCAGATTGGGTTTCCAGGTAAAGCAGCAAACACAAGCTGAGGACCGGGTAGTAGCAAAGCTGCACCAGCCTCATGCTGTGCTGGCTCTTGGAGTGTCCTTCAGAACACTGATCACCTCCTTAAAGTAGCATCTTTCATGCTTTGTTCAACTGCAAAGAACAGATCCTCGTAGACTGTGAGCCTAAGGATGGGAATATGAATTTTGCTCAGGATGCACTGAGACAGTTTGCCCAGAGATATACTCTGTCCATGGTGACATTCAAGGTCAAGATGGATGGAGCTCTGGGCAACCTTATCTCTCTATAGATGACCCTATCCATTGCAAAGGAGTTGGAGCAGATGACCTTTAAAGTTTCTTTCCAACTCAAACGATTCCATGATTCTATGATAAGCTATAGCCAGCCCTGCAACTGGGGTCAAGGTGCCATTCCAACTGATAGCATCATCCTGCTGTACTTGGCCTCACCCTCTTGCCAGGTACTTGACCCAAAGAGATAAGCACTCAGACAAATATCAAGAGGAGGGAGACCAGAACAGCCACAACAGCAAGCCAGAAACATTTCCCACTGACTTCTAAGATTAAACACAGCAAAGTTAAAGGGGTCCCCGAAACATCAAAGGCACAAATCCATATCTGTTTCTGGGGGAGAGAAATGAGAGACCTGGAGGGAAGACCTTTCACATGAAAATTCATTGTGATAAAAATGACAAACACGTGCTAAATTAAAATTAAACCAGCCCTAAGCATGTATATGAAATTCATTAATTTCAGATGGAGCTAATTAATTATGGGCAGGAATTACATTCTTTGTTGTATCATATGCAAAACACTGACTGCTCTGCTCTTGGGACACTTCACTCTACCTTTGGATATTGTGTAACAAAGGTCTCTTTTGAGGACTTCTGCCAAAATCAGTGATATCTCGCTTGTTTCTGTGGGTGCAAGACAGCGTGCTGCATACCTCCAGCAAGGTACAAGCACTCCCACCTATCTCTGAAATGAGCGAAGGCTGATCCCACTTCTAAGAAGGACTGAAATAGCAAGGACAAGAACCCCGCATTCAACAGATCAAATCCAGGGGACAGTCATAGACATTATAGGTCTGATCTTGCTCTGACTGAAGACAAAGGGATTTTGCCACTGACCTCAATAAGGTCCTGTCACTGAAGCGGATTTATCCTTTAGACGTAGTCATTACAATGTTGGGTTAATCTTCCAGACTGGCTGTATCTTAAAGAACACTCTGGGATGCCACAGGATGAAAGGCGTCGCATCAATGTGAAATATTAGTCATTCTTAATACTGGTGTTAATGGAGCTTGCTCTTGTTGAAGTCAATTGGAAAAATGTCAGCAACTCCACTAAATGTATCCCAAGACTATTATAATCATTGCTTATATCCTACTGACAAATGGGTTCGTTTCAGCTGCAGGAATCAACAGTAAAACAAACTGATATCGCTCATTAAAAAAAAAAAAAAATTGAAAAAGGGTGTTGATATTATTTACTGCAATCCTTCCTGATGTAGGCTTGAAACACAGACAAGTTTTATCTTCAGATCAATCCATTTAAATGCCCTAATGATCTGAAGGTCCTAGGAAAACTCATTAAACCGAAAGAAAAGACAAAAGGAGGAAAGGTAGGGGGAACTAAAAGAGCAAGGGCTTTCCTACTAGCCTAAATCAGAATGAAAGCATCTTCTGAGTAGCCAGAAGACTTCTGCAGTCATTGACACATCTGTGTAGACACTCTGCTGCTCAAAAGAGAAATGCTATGTTGAGCCTGTACGCATTTCCAGCACCTCTCCTGGTGGAGAACCAACGCAGAGACAAACACAAAAAAGGAGCAGGACCACCTCCTACACAAAAAGGTCTTGCACTTTAAAATACTAAACCAATTTCCACCAGCCTAAGAAACTTGTCTATGATCAAACACAAAACTTCATCCCTGCTTTGAGTTGACTAAAGGCAGTTAGAACAGCTCAGCTCCCTGCAGCCAAAAACAGAAGGAAACTTCACGACGCTACCATTGCCTTACCACCAGTCACAAAAAAATTTTAAAAATAAAGTCACTCACATATAATTTATAAAGCAGAGTATGGCCTTCACAGCTACACACCTTGGAAGCCACGTTAGGCTTCAGAGTAATGCCTCAGTAATGTGCCCTTGTAAAGCTAGAAAGCTGTGAGAGTGGTATTTTCAAGTATGATCTGCAGTGATGTTGCTCATTTCTCGCTGTAGTTATAATTAAGCGTCATCCAACAGCAAAAAATTTAAAAAAGAAAAAAGTGGAAGAAAAATCTACCTACTCATAGTCAGATTTTAGTATCCTTGCCTAGTTCTATCATAGTACTCTAAAGGTATCATTGAAGCAGGTCCCATCAGTGGAGCTGCTCTTAAGGCAAGATACTACTTGACTTTGGTAAGTAGCTGCACTGAGCTTTACGGAAGCTGACGGTGTTTTTAATGAGTATGAAAACGGTTCCAATCTGCTCAAGGCCTGCCCCATGTCACAGATTTCACTAACATCCCTAAACAATGGATCAGGGGTTCGGTTCAGGCCAACTAGTTTCACAAAGTTAGTGTTAAAAAGAAAAGGAGAGAGGGAGCAGGTGCTCGTTCCTGGAGAACTCCAGCGTTCAGCTGCCTTAGGGGGAATTCCTCCAGACTGACAGCTACAGTGCAGATCCACGTGAACTTAACATTCTGTCTCCATTTCTAGACATAGGGAGAAAGTGTAGAGTCTTCGGGGCTATAAACGATCTCATCCAAATGCAGGCATCTTTACCAGGTCCAACTAATGTGAGGCTATTGCCATTCAAGGGCTTTGCTGCAGCACAAGGGGAACAACTCAGGTAGAGGTGTCCCTACTGTTTGTGTCTACGCTAGATGATTAAAATCATAGAATTCATTAAGTTGGAAGAGAATTTAAAGCTCATCTAGTTTCAACCCCCTGACACAGTCTGGCTGCCATCCACCAGATCAGGCTGCCCAGAGCCCCAAGCCAACCTGGCCTTGAGCACCTTCAGGAATGGGGCACCTACAACTCCTCTGGGTAACCTGGTGCCTCATCACCATCTGAGCGAAGTCCTAACATCAGTAGCCTATGCTGCCGCAATGACAACAGCACATTCCTTCACTGAAGCTAGCTGCCCTGGTTGCCTTCCTCCCATAGAAATAGCAAGCTAAGTATTTTCTTATGATACTCTGAGTTTTCACACCTCATGCCTGGTCGAACCCTTCTGTTTGCAATGATCACACAGAGAGTCTGATGACAACCTTTGTTTGCTACAAAGGACTCAAAGGGTGCTGGGATGCTCACGCACTAAATGGTAAACACATTTTTCCACGAGAGAGATGCCTCTGACAGAACAGGTGAAAAATTAGCCTAGTTGGGTTTTCTTTTTTTCCTCCTATTTAATCCAAACTTGTTTACTCATCTCAAAAAAACAAAGAGCTTGAAATAACAAGGGACAGACACACTACCAGGTTTGGCTGCCCCATGAAACCCAATCCATCTTTGATGTGTTTGTGTGGGTGGACATCAGGGTAAAACATAGCCTGAGATTTCTAAGTCAAATATAAAGCAAACGACCACTAGAAAAAAAAAAAAAAAAAAAATTATACCAAAGCAGAAATTGGAAGTCTTTTCCTTCTTCTGACATAATAATTATTCTAATGTCACATGTAGAGTGAGAGTAACAGGAGTAGCCTTAAGACTCCTGTATTAGCAGTATTATTTGGTAGAAGACTTTTCAGATCCCTTTAGCTCTTTCCCTAGGGCAGATATCCCTGGTTTCTGCAATCTGGCTTTGCATGGAGATATTAGATTAAATCTTCCAGCCAGTTCGTTTCATTTCTCATTCCTTTCCATGACAGATGCCTTAAAATTCATATCACAGGTTTAGCACAGTCTACAACCCGCTAACTAAATCAAGTCCTTTTTGTTTAGGAATCGCTTGCGTCAAATGGGGCAAACGAGAGACCTAAATAAATCACCTCTGGGGACTGGCAGAGGGACGGGACAAAGATAGCCACAAACCCAGGAAAGATCTAAATAGTTGCTGGCACATTTTGCTTTTTTGGCGGAGTTTGTATTTGCTGGAGGAACCAAGCTGTGCGTAGAAGGGGTATCAGTTTGCAGGATGGCGTGTTGTCTTTTCCAGCACGCTGAGCCCAATCCGCAGTGGATAACATGTCTCTCTGTTGATCCACCCCTCCTTCCTTGGCTCTGGCCTGGGAAAGCTCTAACATTACCCACTGACAGTCCTGTTTTATACCTTCCCAAGTCAGATCAACTACATTTAAGGGGACACCCGCTCATTGCTTCAAAACTTCAAGTTCCCAAAGGGATCCCCAAAGGGATAGAGGAGGTCTCAGCACCACCCAAGACCGGATGTCATAGAGTCATAGAATCGTTTGAGTTGGAAGGGACCTTTCAAGGTCACCTAGTCCAACTCACCTGCAATGAACATGAACACCTATAGCAAATCCTGAAGCCAAGGAAGAGTTTGAACCACCCGAGAGTGGGAATCTTCAAACCAAGGAAGACGTTGGACCACCCAAAAGTATAAATCCTCATACTAAGGAAGACTTTGAGACACCAAGCATGGAAAAGGAGGCCCTGCTACCACGCGTTACCGTCACACTTACATTGTGCAGCTTGTAGTAGAGCCCACAGGCATTACAGACAGGATCACCGTTGGCATTTCTCCTCCACAGGGTGGTGGTGGTGGTCTGACAGTTAGCACAGGACGTGCCCGCCCTCCTGGCTGCAGACTGCGGGAACGGGTGGGACAAGAAGAGGTAGAAAAAAAAAAAAAAAAGCATTAAAAAGATGCCATCAGCAAAATCGCTGAGAAAGAAAACATCAACCACACAAGACTGACGCACAGCAGCAGAGGCCTACAGAAACTGGCTTGTGAGAACAAATAATAATTCCGACAAAAAATCCCCGAGGTACTTTAATCCCAAATTATATATGAACTGAATCAGGTGCCAAAGGGCATCCTAAAAGTGAGTGCTAAACCTCTGATAGAGCTCATCAAAATTAGCAACGCTGGCACAGCCCATTCCAGAGGGGAAAATATTATTTAAATGCCAACATGTCTTTCCATCTTAATTCTCTCAGACCCCCCAGGGATCTATTTCTGCAGTCAGGGCCTGAACCAGCAATTGCTGGAGTCAATGGCATGAGTCACGATGGCTTCAGCCAGTGCCGGATGAGACCCGCGCCGCGCTCAGTGGGCAGCTGCTTGCTGGGTCTGACAGCAAGCACGGCCCCATCCCATAAGTTCAGCTCTGCTTCAAAGGATACAAGCTCCAGATCGGAAATAACACTGCGGCGAAGAGCGAGAATCCCAACTTTTTAATTACACCCTTCTGCAGCCTCAAACTTCATGTTTATTTAAGGACTGGTAATGAGGTTGAAAGAAGAATTTACCATTTCATAAAAAGGGAGGAACAAAAAAAAAAAAAAAGTATATGTGTCAAGGTGTATAAAGAAGCTTTTTTGTTAGCTGTGATAATGATTTAGGAAAGCCAAATTTAGCCAAGTCGCTTCTCATTCACATGCATGAATTCGTGCTTATCATTTAAAAACTGTAACTTTGGCAAACAAATTGTCCTTCTGCCACTGAAGGAGGAAAAGGAGTTTGCAGACTTTTATATGAATGCGTATGCATGCTTGCATGCGTGCAAGTGCCTACAGCTCCTAAAAAAGACCTTTAGATCCCACTCCTATCTCTTCTTCATCAACATGACACAGTCCCAGAGCTCTGATTTCATCCCGATGCACCGCTTTCAATGGGACTGCTCATGTGCTTAAAGTTAAAACATGTGCTTAAACGATTTGCCAGATCATAGCAATGCTTGGCACCTTGCAGAACTGAGCCTTTAATGCTCTCTTTTGTGCTCTTACTGTTTCAAATTTACCCCTCACCCCACTCAGCCGCACACTGTAGCACATCCAACATTAAAAAAAAAAATAAAATACCACATCTTTGGAGACTGTACAGCAAACCCAAAATGCAAACATGGACACTGGCACAGCGCTAGCATTAATACCAACTCTTGTTAGGTCATGTTGCAATTTTAATCATAATTGAATGTGGCGTAGGTGGAGAGAGGACGGGTTGGTTTTGTTTTAGATAGAGTAGGATTTTTTTTTTTCTTTTTTAATTACACACACACAAAAAAAAAAGGACTATCTGAAAAAATAAATCACGCTGTGCCCACAAGCATTAAGAAGAATTGCAGAATGCCCATTCTGACAACAAGGGGCTCTTACCAGGCATCACAAAAAGTGTTCTGCCTGCAAAAAAAGAAATCATCTGAAGAAGTTGAGGCACCCCACCACCAAAAGCAGAGCCTATCGGACAAGTTTGCACACAGAGGCCTTTATCCTGTCCTTCTCTGGACTCTGCCAAGGCCCCAGATTTGGTTCCTATTCAAATCACCGGGTTGATGGAAATACGTGCTCGCAGAGCTGCACACCCACCACAACCCAGGGGCCAAGCATAGGTGGCTCGGAGGCTGGAATGACTCTCTGTGGCAGCTTTCAATTTATCAGACCCAAAAATCAAGCCTAAGGAAATTTCTGAAAACCAGCGATATTTGACTCAGCCCACACAGGGGAAACATCCCCTTTGAAGACATTTGGGGTTTCGACACTGTGCTCACCATAATTTCTCGGATGGTAAATGTGTTTAAAGGTATGCCTCATCCCAACTACCTTTTCAGGATCTCAAGCAAATTCTCACCAGCTAATTTTAAATACACCAATAAATCAGTATGTTCATTATCTTCCCTAAAACCTAATCCATCTGTCACATTTTCTCTACAAAACCTTGGCGTTGTTATCTAAATATTTTAAGCCCTGCACTCTTTTCATCCCTGACCGTAGCGTTCATTCTGTACCAATTCAGACCAGAGACAGCAACAGTGGGCAGGAAATAATGAATAATAACACTATTTTCAAAGCTCCCAGCAATGGGACTGACACTCCTCACCAACCCAATCGTGTCCATGTCAGTAATGGGATGACTACAGTCACACTATCATCTACAGGACCAGAGCTGGTTGAGCAAAGACACAACTTCATACTGGAAGTGCTGACAGTGATGGAAAGGTGGAACCAAGGAAGGTGCAGAAAGAGGAACTGAGTGCTGATAAACATGCTTAAGGGCTGGTTTTGGTGCCTACATTTACACGGAGTATCCAAAAAGCTGCAATGGACAGCTTCCTAAAATCATATTGCATGTGCCAAATCCCTCTGAGAAACTGGCCATTATTCTTCCAAAACCAGTACGGACATAGAAACAGAGAGCTCTGCATCCATGTGGCCAACGAAAGAAGAAAATTCAAAGGAAAGCTTTGTCTCAGCTAAGGGCCACGAAGGAGCTATTACGGGCTTGGGTAGGGGCACTCTCCAAGAGGGCCAACACCTCCAGATTCACAGCTTTCCCCCAAAAACAAAGTAGAGCTGCTTGAATCTCCTCAGCCTGCAAAGCTCATCCCATCATTCCCCATAAAGTCAGCCCTACAAAGACTCCCATTGAATTTAATGAAGCTTGGGTTCCCAGCATCTAAGGATTTATTTGACTTCTCTATCCAGCCCATCGGAGTCCTGTCATTAGCTGCAGTGCACTGGGATCAGAGCCTACAAAACCAGCCCAAGGTCACACAGGAAACTTGTGGCAAAGCAAGAGGTGCACACCTCGGCTCCCAGCCCGCTCACCTCCCAGAGCCGGGAGGATCATTCAAACCACAGACATGCATGCTTCCACATCCTTGCACAAAGAGATGCAAATGCAGAAGGTCTTGATGCATTCTGATTTTTTTCTTTTTGAGAGGGTTAGCAAGAAAAATAGAGGCAAACGGTGTTAAAAACATTTTCCTTTTCCAGACAGTGATGAAAAAAAAAGGAGAATAAAAAAAAAATCTGAAGTTCTCATTAGGAAATGCTGCATGCAAAGACCAGGAACTTTTTTGTAAATCAGACTTCAGCTAAAATGCCCAAGATAGGAATGATTATGCAAGACCAGGTCTTTCTTTACATTTTTCATTCTTTTTTTTTCTTTTTTTTTCCCCAAGAGTGACCTTTCAAAATGTATTTATTTATATATTCCATTTTACATGTGCCGAGCTTGGGGTAATTCGGGACATTCTTTCATGGTTCCATCAGACACTTTGTGAAAGCTCTACCCCCTTTCCAGCCGCTTTCCTATCCTGCCTCCCCCTCTGCTTGTTTGGATATGCTCAAGCTCCTGTGTGTTTGGGCTGGGGAAACAGAGCTGTTGTTTATGAGTTATCTCCAGGGCTCAGATATCCGGCAGCTTTTTCCTAGGAAGTTGACTTTACACATAAAGAGAGAACGAGGGAAAAAAAAAAAGAAAAAGAAAAAGAAAAAAAAAACGAGGTGTGTGTGCTTAAGACAGAAGGGCTGGCGGGAAGGAGGAGAAGAGAACAAGAGAGCTGCCCCAAAAAAATTAAAAATCACAACCCGCACTTCCCTCCCTAGAAAGCCTTTCCTTTTTCCTAACGAGGCTTTGAAAGACGAGCCTGAGCCAAAGGAGACCAACATTTTCTTATAAGGGAAAAGCACTGAAAGTCTGTCCCCACGCACACATGGCAGAGCTCCATACCAGCACTGTCCCATTCAGTCCATCAGCCCCAAAACACCACCGGGATGCATGAGTTGCTTTTCCTCCACCTTCCATTTTTAATCCTAATGTGACCAAATGTGCCTCAATTCAAAACATTCAGTAACTTCCCAGGCAGGGAACAGATTTTTTCCCCCACTTGATATATTTTTCCCCTTGTGGTTTTCCTGATTATTTGCCAAATAGACTTCAACGCATTTATTTGCCATACCCACAGCTTCCAGACCTTTTTGTGGCTTCCAGGGAAATTCACAAATAGATCGCTGGGGATGCTATAACGTATTGCCTGTATATATTATGGTCCTGAGGCCTGAAACTATTATTTCACCATTATTCCAAATAGTTACCCATGCATTTCACCTTCCTCCAGCTTGTGTGGTTGTGGGTGCAAACTCAGTTTTGCACCCTCACACACTTTGCCATGACCTACATTGAGATGGCAATGAGATGGCGGCAGTGGCAGTGCTCAGGAACAAGTGACCCAGCTCAGGTCCCTTCTGTGTCACCACCAGCCAACAGGAATGGAAAGCACACAGAAAGAAATTTAGGAACACAGCAAAAGTTTCGTTCTCCTGTTATCTCTTTGGTCAATGGGAAATGTCTTTGGAAAGAGCTTTCACCCTTGGGTCACCATCCAGGTGCGCTGTGCAGAGGCTGCCACCCTATTGCAACCTGGGAGAAAATTCAGTCCTGGCTTACAGAAACCTCTAGATCTTGATTTTTTTAAATCTGTTTCATGTTTGCAATAGGAACAGACAACTGAGGCCCACAGCGCGTGGGATCATCTCTCTGAGCATCCTCCATCCCAGCCCTCAGACACAGTGCGACCACTTTTTGGAGCTGGCTGAGCTTTCCCCTTCCATCCCAAGCTGCGAACAAGAAACAAAAGTGGCAGGAAAAAACAAATTACATACAATAAAATAAAACCACTCACCAGCCTTCTCTTGGGTTTGATCAGGGGTCGGTTCTGCCCGTTCATTTTGTGATAGAGTCCACAGGCGTTACACAAGTAGTGCCCGGTGCCGTCTCTTCTCCACAGAGGGGTTGAGGTAGCCCCACAATTTACACACTCCCTGCCTTCTGGAAACAAGAGAGCACATAGTTCACTTAGGGAAAACAGTGGTGAAAGAGGATGGAGAAATCTCCCACGTGCCCCAGAATAACTCCTAAAGGCACTGTCTGTCCTCTCCGAGGACATGGATGCCCAAGAGCCCAAGGCCATGGTTAAGAGACATAAGTAGGGGACTATCAGCCCTCATGGGGTCTGATCCTACCCCACCACCCCAATCCTGACACCCCACATGTCTCCTATGCCCTTTAGGAAGAGGTAGGTGATGGTGACAGCCCCCATCCAAACCCCCAGGCAGCTCAGGAGTTCCCTGGAGCTCTCCCCTACCCATGGGTCCCTCTTAGTAGGAAGAAGATGAGGGGCTGGTGGGTCTCTGTCACCCCTGGAGTTAGAAAAAAAGGGGCCTATGACCCTCCTGAGACAGATGGATGCCAAATGTAGGTCCACAAACATCTTCCTAATGCGTATACGGACCCTTGGTTCACTCCTTGAGCATCAGCCTGGCTCCCAGCGGGGTGCATGAGCCAGAGGTGCTCTTCCTTTGGTCTCAGATCAAACCCCCAAAATAATCATGGCCCAAGCACCAGAACACCTCTCCAGCCCTAATCAATCCACAGTCACTGGGCCAGTACCTACTACCGATTTGTTTGCAATTAAGTTTTCACTGCTCAGCCAGTGGGCTGCAGAAATCTTTCTGTCTTCCTCACTATATGTACAGACCGTGCCCAGTATTCGGGACCCTGAACAGTTTATAGTCTTTTCCATTTTCTTCTCCTCCTTTTTGGCACCCTTCTGTCTCAGTTATGAGTGGACTCCCCCAGCCCGCTGGCTCCCAGGATTTAGGGGACACAGTACCTCCCAGCTACTAACAGAGGGTTGAGTGAGTGGTTTCATGTTGTTGTTATTTTATTTCTTGCACCTAAAGGCACTCCCAGCTCATCTGAGAGCAGCAGAAACACTCAGCTGGCCGAAGCAGAACTAACCCAGCTCAGCAGTGGGTTCGAGCAAGAAGCACCCGCGCCCTAACCACAAACAGCAGCCGTTTTTCCAGAGCCTTTGTGCTAAACCTCCCTCCTCTGCTCCAAAAAATAATCGTAATAGTGAAATGTTAATTTGCATCCGTTTCTCCCTCTTTTCGTCCTTCACAAACACCCCCTCCTTTCTTTTCACCCGGACCCATCCCCCTTTGTCTGCGAGCTTCCCAGCTTGCTAAAATCGACTTTAAAAAAGAGAAAAAGAAAGAAAGAAAAAAAAAAATAGGTGTTGCTCTTGGGGTTGGTTTATCGCAAACCGCAGATGTCTTTCTAGAAGGTAAAGTAACAGAAAGTGGCAAAAGGAAAACAAGAGGAAGGAGGAAGAGGGGGGCAAAACGGTTTGAAAATCCCGCGCAGCCGCTGCCCCGCGGTTCGGGGTGAGGATAAAGCGGAGCCGCAGCGGTCGGGTTGGGTCGGGACCGCTCCCGGAGCACCCGGGTGGGTTCACTCCGTTCTGGTTAAACGGGGCGGCCGCTCTGAGGCCGTTTGTGTCTCTGTCCCTCTCTTTTGTTTCACTCCATCTCTCTCTCTCTCCTGCTTTCATGTACAAAACACACAGGTCTGGGTTTTTTTGTCACTCTAACCGCATCCGGACTCTATTAAAGTTCCTGGCGCTGGATAAACAATGCAACTGTCGCGTGCAGCAGTCTGAAAATAATTGGATTAGCTCAAACATATCAGCTAAATAGAGACAGTCCCTGCTCAGACAGACAGAGTAAATGTCACCCTGGAAAAACCCTGAAAACTGATCTCATTCATGCCAGGCAACCCTGTAGCAGCCTCCACGGAAAAAAAAAAAAGAAAAAAAAAAAAAAAGGAAAGGAGAGTTTTGACTAATCGCCCTTTCTTCTGCTCACACAGCAGCACCCTTTGGTGCACCCAAAATCCCGACCATCCGGCACAGCCCCGCAGTGTGCGCAGTGCGCCGAGTCCCCACCGCGGTGCCTTCCCCGGGGCTTGGGGTCCGGTCCGGGGGCAGGCACGGAGCTGGATGGGGCTGGGGGGGTGAATTCAGGGTAATTCTCTCCCCCCCTCCCTGTTTCCCAGCCTCCCGGCGCCGCATGGGAAGAGGCCCTGGGCTGAGCCGCGCTGGGAAGAGCGGGGCGGAGGGCAGGCGGGGGAAGTTGGCCGGGATTTAAGTACCATTATTAAAATACGGAGAGATACACTAATGCTGCGGTTCCCTCGGTTTCGCTTCCTCATTAAACGCCCGCAGCCGAGCACAGCAGAGGCGTTTGGGATCGCCCCCGGGGCTGGAGCCCGGCAGGAGGGAAAGGCTCGGGCACAAGGCTCGGGCACAAGGCTCGGGCACAAGGCTCGGGCACAAGGCTCGGGCACAGAGGGAAGGACTTAGCCTGGGGTTAGCATCCCAGCAGGGTAACCTATGAGAAACATACAAAGTTTTTCCCCTCCTTTCCTCGGGAATCAGCCCCCGGGTACACAACCCACGCTCCATCCCATCGCTTCCTCTTTCTTCCCCAGCAAATTGGGACGAAGCAGCCAAAAACCCTACCTGTGCTCGACCGTGCTTTCGGTCGTGATTTGCACCCGAACCCGGTAGGCGATCCTCCTAAGAGGCTGCTGGGGGGAAAAAGTCCAGAGCTATATTCGGGGACATATGGTGGGTAAGTAGTGATGGGGTGATGAGCAGAGGAGGTGGCTCCTCCTAACGAGGCCATGCTGCTCCGAGAGTGAGACGACTCCAGCTTCATGGTGTCAGCCAGGGACACCTGATATTTGATGCATTCCTTCTCATCCTGCCGGGTTGAGCCGGTGGAGCCAGGAGTGGAGATGGACGGATCCGGGGACACATCTTTAGGAGGGGTCGGTGGGAAAGTGAAAAGATGCGGGCTGGAGTGACCGGCGGATAAAGTGGAGGAAGAAGCAGGCGGGTAAACGGAGAGGGGTCCCGGCGAGCTGTGATGGATGGAGGTCTTGGAAAAAGGGCTGAGGTTCCAAGGGGAAGCGCTGTGGTGGCTGCTCAGCGCTTTGCTCCCGTCCAGCCACGGCAGCGAGCCGTGCAACAGAGGGGGCCGGCACACCTGGCTGCCTGCTCGGAGAAAGCACAGCGAGAAAAAGCCGGTTACATTCCCTCTGCCTTCCCTACGACCCGCCGGGGGGTGCGGGATGCAGCCTCGCTCTTTCCTCAGACGCTCAGTCGAGGGGAGATGTACGAGAGGAACAGGGGAGAAACCCACCTGGTGCGAAACCCTCAGTGTTCTCCCTTTTAAAATGAAACCCTAAAAGCTGCGATCCTGAGGGATTCGGACCCCCCAAGCGGGGATATGCTGAGACACAGAGCCCCTCTTTGCCCTCTCCCAGACAACCCCAGGTGGACTTGGAAGCGAAGATCCTGCATGAAATTGCCCAGCCCTCGCTGCAGAAACCATTTCTCTCAGTTGGGAAATAATTTGTCAGGCGCTTTCTGAAAGTAGCCATGGGCTACAAACCCTGGGTATATTCTGGCCAAATGAAGAGGACCAGAAGATGCCCAAAAATGTGATTGTAACCTTTCTAACCTTCCCAACCGAACTGCTGAACTTTACAAACTGACGCAGTTTGTGCTCCCCCCCCCCCCCCCCCCCCCCATTCTTGAGACTGCACAAAAATGTTAGACAGTTTTTGGTGGTAATATGGCACACAGAGAGAGTACCAACCTGAAAAGAAACTCTCTCTCCATCCCCTTCTCACCACTACAAACTCTTCACTGTATATTAAAATACAGACCTGGGCTTTCGGGGGGAAAGAAAACCACTGGATTTATGCAACTGAACCTTTCTTCCCTTTTGTCACAAATGTTCTGGAGGGATCATAACTCGTGTTTTAGCCCTTTCTAAAAAAAAACATCCAAAGAATCAAATCTACCCAAATCCACAGCAACTTCAGCAAATCGCTAGAAGCTGAAAAACAGTTATTCACCTGGAAGAGAGCAAGGTTGTGCCTGCTGTACAGCCCTGAAACACACTGACATCCAGAGAGCCTGAATCTCTCCAGCTATCGTGGTACAGAGTGCTAAATACATGCTAGGAGAGATGCAAACACAAGTCTATAGAGCCACAGACAGCAAAAGAGTGGGTGCACTGTGGACACATACGTCTGTCTACCTGTGAGCATGTGTGTGTGTTAGAAAACCTACAGGCTGGTTTTCATTGTACCAGACATTCGTGAACAATACTGAAAGTAACTGCTCAAAAGGAAGGGAAGGTGGGTTATACGAATAGAAAGGGTCAAGATTCATTATCTTCTCCAGGAAGTAGCATAGTAAATAATATTCAGGCTAGATCAGAGAGACCGCAGTTCCACTTTCTGCTGATATATTGGGGGAAAAAAATGAAAAGAGCAGAAAAGAAAGAAAGGACAAAGGCTGCTGATCCTCAGAAATAATTGTTTTAAAGGGACTAATGGCAGAACAAAGCAGTTACTGAGCGGACCTAATGCAGACTCACACTCAACAAGTAGCTGAGGGCTGGGAGCAGCCCTGAGCCCAGCTCGGCTCCACTGCTACTCTCATCCCACCTTCTTCTCCTTGATTTTGGGTTGAGCCTCGGGCTTTTTAGATTCCAACACTTCAGAGAGGTCACTGTCCGGCTGCAGAGCTCAGCGGCTGCTCATTTCCCTGCCTTATTATTATTATTATTATTATTATTATTATTATTATTATTATTCCCTAACTTTTAACCATAGAGACAACTCCAGTCACACACCCTAGGTCGCTCTGCTTCTTCTCTAAAAAGATGGCACCAAAACATCCATCCCTCCGCAGCCCCAGGCCCCATCGGCTGCAGGTATTTCACCTCCTTCTCTAAAAGCAGTGACCCAGGAGCAACGTTCACATCGTGGATCATCACTTTCCTGCAGGAAAACACCTCTGCTCTGCTGCCTGGTTTGGGATCTTCCTTCTGACTTTCTTGTTTTAGCACACGCCATGATGCGGCCCTGGGTGAAACTTTCAAATTGAGCCTAACAAGCTCCTGAAGTGCGAATGAAATATCCCAAGCGTGAGGACTGCGGGGTCATTCTCACACCCCTGCTCTACCGCTCTGCTTCTCGAGAGCAGCGAATGGTGCAAAAGCTAAACACCATGTGAAAACGCCGTTAAGCTAATTAGAGAGGAAAATAGCTGAGCGAAAGAGAAAGGGAAAAAAAAAATAGGTAGATGAAAGAGAAAGAGGAAGAAATAGGGAAAGAGAGGAGGGAAAGAAGGGAAAGAGAGAAAGGGAAGAAGAGAAAGAGATTAAAAACGGAAGAAAAAGAAAGACAGAAAAGAAAGCAAAACAATGGAAAGACAGAAAGAAAAAGAAATGAAAACGAAAAGTAGCCAGGATTGAGCCGTATTTCTAAAAGCCTGCCCCAAAACCCACCCGTGACGTCGTTTCCCGGCCCGCAGGATCGTTGCCGGGGTCTGCCCGACGGCACCGGGGCTCGGGGCGGACACTCACCGTGATGGGCCGTCGGATACCGCTGCACGGTGGCTCGCACGGAGTTGCCGTAATACGGAGGCACGGGATTGCCTTGTCCGTCGATATTAAAAAGTACATCCACTTCCTCGGCGAGAGGATACTGCGTGGGGTCCATGTAGGTATGGCCAAGAGTGGGGTGGTGGGAGTCCGGGTGCTGCCCATTGAGCACGGCCGGGTGGTGGTGGCTCACCCACCGCGGTTGGTCCGTGGAGACCTCCATCTTCCGCGCTCGCTGCTCTTCCTCCTCCTCCTCCTCAGCGAGGCTGGCGACGGGAGGGGGGGACGACTGTGCAGAGTCGGGGTGGGGAAAGAGCTTCGGCGAGGTTGGGTTGGGTTGGTTTGTAACCGGAGGGAGGAGGAGGGGGGTGGTGGTGAGAAATGATCGGTTCCAAAAATTTAAAAATAAAAATAAAATGAAAAAGGAAAAAAAAAAGAAAAAAAAAGAAAAAAGAAAAATAAGAGAATATACTAAAGGGGGGGAGGGGGGAGGGGGGAAGGGGGGAAACAAATTCAGGGGGAAAAAAAAATCTCTACGATGTGAGATCCCCTCTGTATCTTCCGCTCTTTTTGCAGATGTTTCTCTTCTTTGATCACCTGTAACGAGAAAGAGGAAAAGGGGAAGGAGCAGAGAGAGGGAGAGAGAGGCAGAGAGAAACGTGCTTGAGAAGTTCTGAACTTTAGCACCTGACTTTTTAGGCAGGAGCAAACCCATCCCATCCCTGAGCCAGCCCTGGGAAGTGCGGCTCTGCCCTGGACCCACCTCTCCCAGCGCCTCTTTCTCTTTCGCTCTCTCCCCGCCCGGCTCGCAGCGAAGCCCGTGCAGCCGCAGCTCCGACTCCCGCTTCGCTTTTTCTCTCTCTTTTTTTTTTCTTCTCTTTCTTTCCCCGTTTTTTTACTTTTCTTCTTTCATTTTCTCTCCTTCCCTTCCTCCCCCCAATTTTTTTTTTTTTTGTCGCCGCTGTTGTTTGTTTGTTTATTTATTTGCTCAATTTGCACCTGAGCAGCTCCAGTGCCTTAAGCCCGGTGAGAACTTGTGCCATTCGCTGCGCCGCAGCCTACGGCCGCTCTGATTGCTCATTAATTATTATGCAACCGGGAAAAGGGAGGAAGAGAGGGGAAAAGAGAGGAAAGGAAAGAAAATAAAAGAGGAGGGGGGAAAGCGATAGAGAAGAAGGTGGGGGAGCGAGGGCAAAAGGAGAAGGAAACAGGAGGGGGGAAAAAAAAAAAAAAAAAAGCCAAGTTGCAAAAGAAATTCCGCACAAACCTTGGTGGAGGAGCAGTGTGTGACCCAGGAGGGATGAAGCTGAAAGTGCTTGATCGGATCGGATTGTGCTCGCTCGCTCTCCCTATTTTTTTTTCCTCTTTTTTTTTTTTTTTTTTTTTACAGGGAAGGCATTCTTTCTGAAAGGAGCAGGATGGCGCCAGCCGGCTCAGTGCTTACAGACAGCTGTGGCGAGACGCAACTTAAGGAGGTTCCAGTGTCATAAGCACGGGGGAGGCGGAGCCTGGCCCAGGGTGAGGAGGGGACCGCCAGGGACCGGCCCGGGGCGCACCCGCGCAACTCCGCGGTGGGCGACGCAACTTCCACAACTTTTTTTTTTTTTTTTTCCCCTCTTTTATTCTTTCTTTTTGCACTTTTTTTTTTTTTTTCTTTTCCCCATTGGCTATTTTTATTCTTTTTATTTACTCACCCCTTTTTTTATTTCCCCCCCCCTTTTTTTTTTTTCCTTTTTTATTCTTTATTTTCTCATTTTCTATTTACTTTCTCTTCCCATTTATTTATTTCCTTTTTTTATTCTTTTTTTTTCTTCCTCCGCTTTTTTATTTACTTTTTTTCATTTTTATTTTCCCACCTTTTTTTTTTTTTTTTTTTTTTCCTGCCCTATCACTATTCTTAATTTCAAAAGAAAATAACTTTTCCCACCAGCCACGAAACTCTGGCAGCTGAGGGCAGCGCGGGTGCCGCTCCCGGACGCTGTGCGCTGCACGGGGGTCGTTCCTCCCACCTCCCCCCGGCCCATCCCAATGGATGCGGAGCTTCGGGACGGGCCGTAGCTCCGGCAGGTGCAACACCTCCGGGAAATAAAGCCGCGTCTCCTCGCGCTTAGAGCCGCTCCGACTCAGGGAAGATTTTTCTTTAAGGTCCTGAGCGCTGAGTTTGGAAATATCACAATTTAGGGACGTTTAGTGTTGTTTTGTTGAAGTTTTTTGGCTTTTTTTTTTTTTTTTTTTTTCCCCATCAAGTTCCAGCGGAGATCTCGGTTCTACAGATCTCTTACAGACAGGCAGGATGTGCCCGGCAGTTGGAAGGGTCCCGGCGGGGCTCTGCGAACGGACCCCGCTGCCCCCCGGGCTCCGCGCCCCGCGGCGCCTCCCTCCTCCCACCGCCCAGCGGGGGCCGCCGCCGCCGCTCTGTCAGCCAATGGGGGCAGAGCAGGAACTGGGGCGCCGGCAGCGAGCCGCGTTGATTGGTTGTCCGCCCGCGCCCCGTCGGCCCGGCCCGGCCGCTGCCTTGAGCCAGGGCATCCCCTAGCGGCCCCGACGTACCGCCAGCACGGCACCGGGCGTGGGATAGGGGCAGGGATGGAGCGGGGACAGAGCGGGGGTCTGAGGTGGATGTGGGGGCAGGCGAGGAAGGGGGGAGAGAGGGGAGAGAATGTTGGAGGAGTGGGGGGAGAAAAGAGAAGGTAGGGGACAAGGGAGGGGAAGAGAAGAGAAGAGAAGAGAAGAGAAGAGAAGAGAAGAGAAGAGAAGAGAAGAGAAGAGAAGAGAAGAGAAATGGGAAAAATAGAAGGGAAAGGAGAAGAAAAGGAAAGAGAAAGGAAAAGAAAAAGAAAAAGGAAAGAAAGGGAAAGGATAAGAAAGGGGAAGAAAAGAAAAAGGGGAAGGAAAAAAAAAGGAAAGAAAGGGAAAGGAGAGGAAAAGGGAAGAAAAAGAAAAGGAAAAGGGAAAAAGCTAAAAAGGGGAGAAAAGAAAGAGAAAAGGCAGCAAAAGGAAAAAAGGTTTAGGGAAAAAAAGAAAAAAGAAAAATAGTTTTAAAAGGGGGAAAAAATAAGAAAGAAAGAGAGAGAGAGAGAAAGAAAGAAATAGAAGAAGTGACTTACAGAGCCGCTCTGAGCGTGCTGTCCCTCCGCGCAGCAGCACGCCAGACTCTACCCGGCTGCCGGAGGAAGCGCCTCTCAACCCTTTCATGCAGGGGGGGCTCATTAAAAGCCGCGGTTCCGCAGCGCCTCCCGCTCACCCCCCGCTCCCCGCTGCTCCGCTCTGCTCCGCTCTGTGCGCCGACGGGAAATCGCTGCCCGCTCCCAGACGGGTGCAGCCTGCAGCAGATGCGCCGGGTCCTTGCGCCGATTTTCAAACGCGTTTTGAAAATCCGCTGAGAGCGGGGTTGAGGCGACCCACTCGAGACGGTACACAGAAATATCGTTCTTCTTGGTTAGGGAGTTAAAAATCTTATTTGCGGTATATATTACTATAATTCGGGGCAGAAACAAATGCGGGGTAAAGGAACCAAGCGCGCAGACCTGCCATGGAAAAACGGGCCCCGTGGGGATAAGCGGGGAGAGGGCATCTGGGGGATGCTGTATACCAAGTGGATGGGGGGTGAACACCCCGGGCTGCAAGGACCAATCCCCCCATACAGCCCGGCTGGGCAGATACCGCCGGAGAGGAGCGAGGGGAGCCGGGCAGCGTTCCCAGCAGCCCGTTAGGAAAGCAGGAGAGGAGCAGGAAAGCATCGAGGGTGAAGGGGGAGAGTAGAACACCTCACTTGCAAATCATCTGTTAGCACAAACTTTCCGCCTCTCCAATCCAGCTCTAAATGTGTTTTATGGACGTGGAAGTGCTCCCTTTATCCCTGCTCCCTACGTTTTCCCTGACCCTAAGCCATCCCCGTGGATGAGATTTGCTCTCCAACACTTTGAAAAAGTCACTTTAAACAAATCCCTTTTAACACACTGAACGGAGGATGCCGAGTTCGGGGCAGGTGAGTTGGAACATCCTCCCCACACCTCACCCCTCCCCTGCTCTGCTGCCTTGTTACAGCTCCGGGACCTACAGCGGTGGGAGCACAGAGGAGGGGAAATTCCCTCTAGAGGTCACAAAATCACTAAGGAATAGAGAAAACGTGCCTCTGTTTCTGTCCTGGGGTAGAGGAAAGACTGCGAAGTCGCCATCCTTCAGCTATTCGGAGGACGACGGTTGCTTGAGGCAAAATAGAATGAGTAAAAAGCAATGGGGGAAAAAAAACCGCAAGATTTTAGAATAGAATATAATAAAATGTAATTCAGCAAAATAGCAATTAAATATTTTTTTTTTTTTTTTTAAGGGGAGGGGAGGGAAAGTCCACCGAGTGTGATGCAGGCATGGTGGGAAAAGGAGGGGAGCGACGCTGAGGGCCCAGACGGGACGGACGAGGGGGTGACACACTGAGAGCCTATGTATCGTCACAGTCCCGATTTGGGGAAGACACCAACTTTAAATCAACTTTTCTCCATCTTCCCCTGTGTTTCTACTCCGATTTTTTCTATACCTTTCTTAGCCGGGAGAGAGCAGTGGTGGGGAGGGTAAAAACATCCCCCTTTCAAAAATAAAAAACGAGAGCAAATTATTGTTTCCCAATTCCCCCCTTCCCGTCGGGTTAATTCGCGATCCCCAGGGTTGATGGAAGGAACGCTGGCCTTGACCGTCCTTTTCCCAGGCTGTGGCTGCAGATCCATCACCTCGTCCCCCCCCCCCCCCCCCCCCTCCTGCAGCCCCCAGCAGGGTTTCCAGTGACAGCCCGGCGCTAATAGGAGCCCATTGTTGGAGCAATTAGCCCCACGATCGCCACCAGCCGCCAGATAAAGGCTCGGGGATTAATTCTGCAGCTGGGGGGCGGGGGGGCTGGGGGGGAGGAGGGGAGCTGCGGTCAGCATCCCTTCAACAGGATCATCCCTTCAACTTGGAGAGATGGATGCGGGATGGGGGGGGAATGGGGGGAGTCCTGGCACTGAGAGGTCAAAACGGGTTTGGTGGAAGTGTCTGAAAGTCCCAAAATGAGAAAAGAAGAAAAAGAAGAAGAAAAAACTCAGAGAGACGGGGCGACCCACCTTAAACTCTCCCCTGCAAGTGACCATCCAAAAGGCATAATCCCTTCACACACACCCCCCTTGGGGATCACCCCAAGCCCTGCTGTTACGATATCGGGGCTGCGTTCTGGTCCTGGGGAGCCCCGTGCCCACCATTGACACCGCCGTGGGTTTCGCTGGCTCTGCTCGGGGCGGGGACAGGCAAAAAGCCCCCTCCTTCCTCCCCCTCCCCAAGCCCCCAGCCCCCTTTTAGACGACAATTGACTGAAAGCGGATTAAGTTACGTTCGGCGGGCTGGGGTTTTTACAGGGTACCAGAATAGTACAGGTAAAGCTGTACAAACAGCCGGGAGCTACGAATCGGAGGGTTACGGAG